CCTTTTGGTTGGGGTTTCGGTTCACGCCCTGGAATTCGGTCTGGCAACGGGACTACACACATCGTACGAGCTTGCGGTGTACATATTGGTGACTGGCGATCGATTGCTGAGCTTTCTGAACAAAGTAAAAGCAAAACGAATAGTTGGGTCAGCTCCCTTAGGGCGGGCTCCACGGATATTGGGCAGAACGTTACATAGCCAGAGTCGTTGATTCTGAGGTCAGAATCAGCACCATTTGCTTGTGGGCAATCAAGGAAAAACATGGACTCGACACAAACCCGGATTTGTGTAGAGTCAGAGTTAGAATCAGTTGCATGCACTGTCAGCCAGAGTAAGAGTAAGAGTTCTGCTCAACTGGAGTCAACCAAAAGTCCGACAGGCATACGCTCTCCAAAATATGCAGGCATTTAATATGGGTGACAAAAGCCATGCATGCACTTAGCTACATCAATTGAATTTGAAATTCATTCAAATTCTATTCAACGCCATTCCACGCTCGTAATGGTAAACAACGCCGCATGAGAACAAGACCCTCGTTTCTTGGTATGCCCAACGTGCACAATTGATCCAACGCCACCGATGCGCGCTCACCACGAGCGATACCACAATCAGGTCGGACAGGTGGGCGGTACACGCAGGCGGCGATGAGCGCCGGGGAGCGCCGGGAACACCGCGCCCCGGCGGCGGGACACGCCGAGACGGCGGCGGCGCCGGCGGCGGCGGCGGCGTGGCGTGCGGCCGCGCACCAGACAATGGCGGGGCCCGTCAGTCAGCGGCGGCCCGCAGGCGCGCACGTCACTCCGGCCGGCCAACAACAAAAACAGACGGCACACCCGCACCCGCGCGCACGCATCCACACGCATGCACGCACGCACGCGGCCTGCGCGCGGGTGATCGGAGACGGCTGGCCGGGCGCCGGGACGCAGTGGCAACATGATAAAGTGGCCATATAGAAATGAGGGTGGCAGGACGCGATCATCCGAAATAGATTAAATATATGAATCATTTTATCCGTATGGGCGTAGTTTCCGTAGCGCAGGTCTGTTGCTGAAGCTGCGGGAAATGTCCGGATGGGTAGCCACGACAGGTGCACTCCCAGCCCCGGTAGCAGAGGAAGATTCCCCAGCCCAAGTTATAGGGAAACATCTCTCAGTTCTGGTAACAGAGAAACATCCCTCAACCCCGGTAACAGAGGAAGACCCCTCAGCCCCGCGTAGCAGAGAAACACTGCCCCAGCCCCAGTAACACAGGAGCACCCCTCAGCCCGGGCAACAAAGCTGCTTCCCTTAATCACATCCCTTTGGAAGTGGTCCGAAGTTCAGCGAACGAGAAAAGCGCAGCGACCAAAGGCACAGTATTCTGCGAGTTTCAAGACACATTTGGCTTCAAACTATGTCGGCAGACGACCTTAAATCCTCTACGTGACAATTTACGACGCATTTTATTTGCTGCGCTTAGCGGGAATAGGGTTGTTGATGTCATGTTCATATTTCACATCACTAACAAAAAATATCATAGCAACAACATGCGCTATTCCAAATTTAGAGTCCAGCAAAACAACCCGCGCATGGTTCCTGTCATGGTGACCTTTCACACCGCTGGCCACCCCGCACGGGGCTGCCTCCGCGCGCTCCAGTCAACTGCCGCTGAGGGATGGCAGCAGGTGCGGCGGCCCGCGGTGAAAGGTCAAGGTCTCCTGCCGGCTCTGACACGCGTCATGTTTGACAGGTGGCTGCCTGGGTCTACGCATGGAAAGCTGAGCGTGAGGAGTGACGGAAAGAAAATGACATGCCAGAAATAAGAGGACAAGGCTCTTGCATTTTGCGTGTAATTTGGCATAGAATGTGTCCCAGCCTACACATTCGCCCTTCCCCGAGTGTGTATCATCGCTATCGATACGCCCAGGTAGGGCTTGTATGGTTTTTATTTTATTTTCCGAACAGTTATTTGAAGGCACCGATCGCGAGCGTAACCGGCAGCGACAGAGCATTTTCGCTCAACAGGTCGTTAGAGCGGAATACACGGGCCGTAGCCATTCGACTCGAGTATGTAGTAATGTAATGTAATGCACGCGGTGATCAAGGGTGGGAACGGCCGGACTCAAGCGGCCTTTCGGCAACAGGGACCCACTGTTTTAAACAGCATATGATGATGCTTTGACTTTCAGCTACTGCAGGATGGAGGACATTAGCATGAATCACAGACGCCATTGCAGCGAAGCCGGGCGGAAACGCGCGGGCGCGTAACTGCCACGAAACAAAATTCAAGGATAAAGCATAACCGCAACATCACAAATGTACTGCAGATTTATAATCAACGAGTGTTGTGCAGCCGAACGGTGAGCTTTCTGTTCGCTACATATTCGGATGGTTTCCGACTGCCCGGGCATTATCCGTGACTCATCAGGGCACTCATCTGGGCACTCAGATCAAGTGACTCATCAGAGCACTGATCGGGCCGACTGACTTATCAGGGCACTTATCAGGTCAGGTGACTTATCGGGGCACTCATCAGGTTAGTTGTCTCACTCATCAAGTCAGGTGAAGAAGACCACCAGCCCGATCACGTAACGGAGAAGCTCCTCCCAGTCCCGGTGACAGAGCCCCTCCCCTCCCCTGCCCCTCCCCTCTTCCCCGGGTGCGGCGGGGGAGGAGCACCCTCAGTCCCCGTGATGGAGGAGGCGACGGTGACCCTACCCTCTTTCCCGAGTGCGGTGGGGGAGGAGCACCCCTCAGTCCCCGTGACGGAGGAGGTGACGGCGACCCTACTCTCTTTCCCGAGTGCGGTGGGGGAGGAGCACCCCTCAGTCCCCGTGATGGAGGAGGTGACGGTGACCCTCCCCTCTTTCCCGAGTGCGGTGGGGGAGGAGCACCCCTCAGTCCCCGTGATGGAGGAGGTGACGGTGACCCTCTCCTCTTCCCGGAGTGCGGCGGGGGAGGAGCACCCCTCAGTCCCCGTGACGGAGGAGGTGACGGCGACCCTACCCTCTTTCCCGAGTGCGGTGGGGGAGGAGCACCCCTCAGTCCCCGTGACGGAGGGGGTGACGGCGACCCTACCCTCTTTCCCGAGTGCGGTGGGGGAGGAGCACCCCTCAGTCCCCGTGACGGAGGAGGTGACGGCGACCCTCCCCTCTTTCCTGAGTGCGGTGGGGGAGGAGCACCCCTCAGTCCCCGTGATGGAGGAGGTGACGGTGACCCTCCTCTTCCCGGAGTGCGGTGGGGGAGGAGCACCCCCAGTCCCCGTGACGGAGGAGGTGACGGTGACCCTCTCCTCTTCCCGAGTGCGGTGGGGAGGAGCACCCCTCAGTCCCCGTGATGGAGGAGGTGACGGCGACCCTACCCTCTTTCCCGAGTGCGGTGGGGGAGGAGCACCCCTCAGTCCCCGTGACGGAGGAGGTGACGGCGACCCTACCCTCTTTCCCGAGTGCGGTGGGGGAGGAGCACCCCTCAGTCCCCGTGACGGAGGAGGTGACGGTGACCCTCCCCTCTCCCCCGAGTGCGGCGGGGGAGGAGCACCCCTCAGTCCCCGTGATGGAGGAGGTGACGCGACCCTACCCTCTTTCCCGAGTCGGTGGGGGAAGGACCCCTCAGTCCCCGTGACGGAGGAGGTGACGGTGACCCTCCCCTCTCCCCCGAGTGCGGCGGGGGAGGAGCACCCCTCAGTCCCCGTGATGGAGGAGGTGACGGTGACCCTCCCCTCTTCCCCGAGTGCGGCGGGGGAGGAGCACCGCTCGGTTGGAGGAGACGCTGACGGAGGAACTCCCCTCAGCATTCGTGACAGATAAACATTTAGAAGTCCCGTTGGCGTGTGAGCGTCTCGCGGTCCTGGGGACTCACCGGAGCACCCCCACTCCCAAGCCGCGGCAGAGGGGAGCACCAGCTACTCCGGTGGCTGCGCGTTCAAGGAATGTGTTTGTGACATGCGAGACTGCTCCGACCGCGAAGCAACCATGGTTCACGGTGAGCATGTGTTACGTATGTGCAGACCTGGGCAAAACCTTTTGGTCAAGGTCACGTAAACAAATGGACGCCCAGGCCTACGGCCGACCTAGGCCTATTATGTTTCGCGTCGCTCCAAAGTCAAACGTCATCTTAACGCTGTTTGCCTGCGTACTCTTCGTTTGGGGCCGAGGACTGGAATGAACATCTCGTCGCACATTCGGCGGTTCTGAAGCCTGTAATCATTGACATGACCGGCCACCGAGCACCCACGTGGCGCTTTGCAACAGACGGATTGTCCTGACCCCCTCCCCCCCCCCCCGCCCACATTTCGCGTGACTGGCAGATTTGACACGCGTCAATACCCCACAACGTAAGTCAACACTGTTTCCCCAATAGCGTTTGACAAAACGTTTATTTCAAGCCCTTGCTGCATCGAGCCGAGAGGTCCTCGCGTTCCAAGGCGTTGAAGGGTGTGTTTCACATTTGTATGCGGTTCTGAATTGCAATATCCATTTTGAAAGTCATTTGCTGCAGTTTATGGCCTTACCCTTCCAAGACCTAAGCCCCTCTAGTTTCCGAGTCACACGCCCGCGAGGGTGTGGACTATTTTGGAGACTATTCCAAAGTCACCCAGACATCCATGACGCCACAATAACGTCATTGAAATCCTGCAATTCCATAAGCCGTGCGGCGATCAAGGCCACGAATATAATTGTTGAGTCGTTCATACCTGGCGTTCGCGAGCAGTTTCTAGATATCACGGCCGTCACGCGGCTCTCAATCAATGATTCAGTCAATGGCGTATTGAGGAGCATAGTTGCTAAACAGAGATATTGTGTTATCCAGGGCAGTCTTTTTCATTTTTAAGTATATTTATGGTTATAGTTGAGCCCATTCCGTCATAGCTGATGTTTTCCTCGATATCTTCAACTGTGGAACATGCCATTGAATAAACTGCGTTGTGGGAGTGCGTTCTCTGAGCCTTGCCAGTGTTCCAAGTCGTCGAACCGCGTCGAATCCAAGACGCAGGCCTCGGCCCGCTCGCTACACCAGTGCCCATCACGAACAAAACCCATGTATTTTGGTATGTACGTTTGTACAAAACGTGGGCACGTTTATTCGGGGACGCACAGTATAGTCGATAATGAGTATACACCATACAAAACAAGTGGGCACCGCGCCACAGCACAGAATGTAACAGCACCCCCAAATGTTCGGCTACTCCCGAAAAATCACAAGTCGAACGAAAAACGAGACGTGCCTAGCTCGAGTGGCGGCGATACAACCCGACCACGTCAGAGGTATGATGTCAGTGTATCGGTAATTTATGCTAGTCTGGCTACGGCCGCCCGTCGCCGCGCTCGCGGGCGCCACGGACGTAATATCCCCGCGAGACAACATTGCAAGCACCCAAAAAACGGCAGCCATGTGACACAAATGAACGGGGCCTAATGCCACTACCTGTAGAGGCTAGCACATGAATGCATGTATAGGCGCCGACGCGACGGTGGGGAATTTGGCGGCACGATGAAACAATATGAGGAGTCCGACTAGACAGGGGGCGAGAACGCGCGCCACGAGTGGAGATTCCGACAGTGAGAGATGCGTATGACACACGCACACGCACGCACACACACACACACACACCACACACACACACACACACATACATATACATACATCCACACATTTATATATTTATATATAGGCATTGATTTCCACACTACTATAGAAACGCTTCCTACAACGACTATTTACAGCGGAGCTTCAGAAGCCGCCCACTCGCGCCGGGGGGCGCACCGCGCCTCTGTCCGCGCGGGCAGCGCCGGACACTGTCCGCCGGCGGACACGGCGCCGCTGTCCGCGCGCGCGTCCCATCCGCCCACCGCCAGCGCCGCGTCTCCGCCGTTCACGCGGCGCGACCGGCCGCCGTCCACCGCGCGCGCACGTCACGACGGGACGAAAATAGCGTTCACAGATGGCGGCACGATGCAGTGAGATTCGGCCGCGGCTCCGATACCCCGTGACCGGCCGGCTCGCGGCGCGAAGCCGCCCGCCGTCCACACATTCACGCTAACTCTGAAACGGAGGGCACACGTCCATCAGGTCACGGTGCTGCAGGCATGCGGGACAGGGGCGCTGGGGCGGCGCGGTGCGCCGGGCGTGCGCCGGCCGGCCGCCGCTCGCCGAGGGAGCGATCGCACGTCCGCCGAGCCGCTGCGCCGTCACCAGAGGCTCGCCGGGCCCCCGGCGCCGATCCGAACACGCCTCCGCGGCCGCCGGCGGCGTCCCCACGCGTGTTGTGCTGACGACGGCCGCGGAAGCCGCGCCATAGCGGACCGGCTCCCGCCATCCGCGAACAATGGGCGCCACGGCAATTTCGTCGGATCGCCGAGACAAAAGAATTGTTTTGTGATCACCGAAGGACGACGACATGAGAAATTAGTGGCGCTTGCAAGCCCTGGGGAAGAAAGCCGTGCGACAACAGGACGTGAAAGCGGCCCCAATCTACCAGTCCAGTCCTCGACCGACAGGGGGGGGGGGGGGGGGGGACGTGACCCTCGCGAACCCTATCATTGGCGGCCGAGTAATTTAGCGGTGGGTACCCCGCCGCGCGGTGCGCCCCCCGCCCGCACTCACCCGCTACAAGGCTGATGAACAATTTACGCCGAACCCGGAGAATTCTGATGAGGTTGTGAGTGCTCTGCGCATTCCCTGCGCGCGGAGACCCGACACCAAACCGCAGCGAAGCACCCAGCCGGCGCGCGCGCGCCTCCGTACGCGGCAGCAGACCTCACGGCGGGCCCCGACGTTCCCGGAGCCGCCCGCACCTGTCCGTCGGCCACGTCCCGCCTGCCCTGACCGCACGGCGCGCCCAGGGCCCGCCCGCCCACATGGGCTGGCTGGCGACCGGCCGGTCCGCGGCCGCTCCGAGAGGCCGGCCCGGCAGCTGCGGCGAGCCGGCGCGGCGCGGGCCGCCGTCCGGCGCCGTATTTACGGCTCCCGGGGGCCCGGCCGGCAGCCGCGCCGCCCGCTCCTGACGCCGATATACCTGTCGCGGCCCGCCGCCGCGCCGCAGCCATAAATATCCGGCCGGCGCTCGAAAAAAAATGCGCCCGCTCGCCGCTTCCGCCGGCCCTGATCGGGTAATCAGGTAATGGAGCGGTGGCCGCCCTGAAGTCGCGCACACGGCGCCGCGCCGCCTGACGAGGATAAATCGATTATTTAGAGGTGATTAATCGATCAAGTAGGTGGCAACGTTCGCACGCGGCGCTACCGGCCGTCGCGGTGTAACGAATTGTTTGCAGATTAGCGCGCCGCCCGGGCCCGCGCGGGGACGCGCTGCGAGGGGGCGTGGGAGACCCGGTGTGTATCCAGCAGGAGTCGCGTCAGGAAGACTGATGGCAGGCACAGCGTCACGCGAGGCGCTACCGAGCGCAGCCGTGGCCAGCCGATATGGAGCGACGGAGGCAGACAGCGCGGTCCAGCGTCACTTTAAACCCTCACTGAGAGCTCCCTGATCGGGCGCCGCACATCTGCGCCAATGGCGACTCGGCATGGCCGCCATGAGCCGCTCAGATCGGCGCCCCTCCCGGTGCCGATGGCCGCCGCGCGGGTGATTCAGCACTTTTTTTTTGCCACGGCAGGCTGGCGGAGGTCCTCTGTTTGGACAGCTGCGTCAGTGGCTCTACCGAGACCGGCCGCACGTCCATCAGCACAGCACGCCGCCCCTGCAACGCACATCAGTCCGCCAGCCGCAAGGGTGAGGGGGAGAGAGGGGAGGGGAGCGTGAGGTGGAGTTGAGAGGAGAGAGCGAGAGAGAGAGAGAGAGATAGAGAGGAGAGAGAGAGAGAGAGAGAGGAGAGAGAAGGAGAGAGAGAGGAGAGAGAGAGAGAGAAGAGAGAGAGAGAGAGAGAGAGGGAGAGAGAGAGAGAGAGAGAGAGAGAGAGAGAGAGAGAGAAGAGAGAGAGAGAGAGAGAGAGGAGAGAGAGAGAGAGAGAGAGAGAGAGAGAGAGAGAGAGAGAGAGAGAGAGAGAAGAGAGAGAGAGAGAGAGAGAGAGAGAGAGAGAGAGAGAGAAGAGAGAGAGAGAGAGAGAAGAGAGAGAGAGAGAGAGAGAGAGAGAGAGAGGAGAGAGAGAGAGAGAGAGAGAGAGAGAGAGAGAGAGATAGAGAGAGAGAGAGAGAGAGAAGAGAGAGGAGAGAGAGAGAGAGAGAGAGAGAGAGAGAGAGAGAGATAGAGGGAGGAGAGACGAGAGAGACGAGAGAGATAGGAGAGAGAGAGAGAGAGAGATAGAGAGAGAGAGAGAGAGAGAGAGAGAGATAGAGAGAGAGAGAGAGAGAGAGAGAGAGAGAGAGATATATAGTAGAAGATGAGAGAGAGAGAGAGAGAGAGAGAGAGAGAGAGATGCGCGCGCGCGGCCACTCAGGGCGGCCGGCGGCGGTCGCTGCCCAGCAGGGGACTGATGAGGCCGTTTAAATGCATCATGGCGTCGCGCTCGGACACGGCCGGACGACGGCGGATTCCGTTTGAATCGTGTCGGATGCCGGCCGCTGGCCAGGCTGGCATACCTAATGGCGGCCGGCCAGACAGCGACGCTGGCCGCCGGGCCGTGCCCGCTGCCGTCCGCGACCTCGGCTGCCCCCTCCCCCCTCCCCCGCCAGCTAGCCCAGACGCGGCCCGCTCACACCCGGCAACATCCGCGCCTTTCTCCGTCCGCGCGGCCGGCTTTATCCGGCCGGCAGCCTTCAAGACGGTTCTCGCGGCGTCCAGCGGCGCCGCCGCCTGGTGCCGGCCGGACCGGGCCGGCCGCGCGACAAAGGACCCGGCCGGCGCCCCTCTGGGCAGGTATGCGGGCCACACAGCGGCCGGCTCTGGCCGCGCTGCAGCCGGCTGGGACTGGCGCACCGGCGCGGACTAGGCCGCTTCCCCTTGTTTGGGCGGCTCTTGTCCCGCACTGCGACGGCGGCACTTAGTTCCCTGCCGCCAGGCCCCCTGATTGCTAGTGGCATCATGGCTGTGACAGGAAAATAAGCGCACCGATTAGTAAAACACCAACAGAGACCCGAAGAACACTGCCTGTTACCTGGGCGGATGAGTAGCCCGCGGACTGGCAAATCGACCGCCACGGGGGCGCCCTGTCGGAGCCGCCAGCCCGCCGCACACCGCACACGGCTGGCTAGACAGGCAATCACACCGGCACAGCGACACACGGTCATCACTCACCTCAGATATCAAAAGCCCTTGTTAATATCCCATGCCCGGTTGCGAGTCCGAGTAACTGCCCTGAAACGGGGCCGGAGACGCGGGTCAGCGGCGGGGTCGCTGCCTGCGACCGGGCGCGTCAGGCGGTGACGGGCGCCGGCCTGTGGCGCCGCCGCCGCGCCGCCGAGGCGTCTGGCAGCTCCCGAACGCCACTCGAGGCCGGGGCTGACATGGCGACGGCGTCGGGCAGCCCGAACGCGGCACGCCGATCACCGCACAGGGCTCGCGCTAGCGCGCGGCCACGTCCGCCATGTCACAGCGCGCCGCAGACGCTGCAGCGGGCGTTACTGCGGCAGCCGCGATGCGGCACACGCTGGGTGTGGCGAGCTTTCGCCTCCTTAAGGACCAGTCTCGGCCGCATTTCGGCGCCGAAATGACTTTTCCGGCAAGTTTTGGCGAACGGCATCCAGCCACGCTGTTCTATGACAAAAACAAGGCCCAGACAACGTTAAGCGGAAGAAAATGGAGGCTTCCCTCCTAACTGCGGGTCGCAATTGTGCAAATCATGTACAAGGACCTTCCCTAACGGAAATGAATCAATGCACCATGCTGTACACCTGGCAGCGATTGCGTTTTTATGGAGCTCCCTGGGCGCGCCGGACCCTCGGCCACGCCGCTGTGCTCGGAGCGCGCGGAGTACGCACCTGGCTCTGACTGTTGTACTGGGCGCCGTTCATGGACATGTTGTAGCTCATGTCGGCAGGAGGTGGCGACATCATGGGGCCAGGCGTGCCGGCGCCCATGCTGTACGGCGACGAGCCTGCGGCAGGGGAAAACAGGTCAGCGGCGAGGTGCGACCACCGGTGAGCTCCACGTCCTGGGTAGGTCAGAGCGCTCGCTGTGGTCAGGTCAGCGGAGAGGCGCAGCGGCCGGCGCAGGTCACGACGCAGGCAGGCCAAAGCGCCCGCTGTGGAGGTCAGGTCAGGTCAGTGGCGCGGCGCAGCGGCCGGCGCGGGTCACGACGCAGGCAGACCAGAGCGCCCGCTCCGGACCGCGGCGCTGGTCCTGGCGGGGGAAGCACCCAGCCAGAGCCGGGCCCCGGTCACGCACTGGCCGGCGGTCGGTGCGAGCGACTCGGGTCAGGTCACAGTGGACGGGCGCGTGTCGACGACGCCGGAGGGGCCGGCGCCGCCTGACACTGGACAGACGCCTCGGGCGGCGCCAGCCCCAGTCGGCCGGGCCGCCGTGACGACGATAATCATCAAATGATAGCGGCCGGCCGCCGGCCCAGCCACCGGCGACGCCACATCAGATTAGGCAATAATCGCCAGAAAATAACCAGACGTGGCCGCGACAAATTACAGATATTTGGCCGGCTAATCACCCGGGCTCTTATTACATCAGCCGGTGCTAATAACACGGGCGCGGCGATCGCGACCAAACATGAGCCGTTTATCGGCGCTCGGTGCCGGATGGCTGAGTGAGGCTTCGCTCCGTCCGTTCCCCGGTCCCGCGCAGCATCGAACGGGACGGACCGGGGTGACCAGCTGGCCGGACCGGCACGGCCCTCGGCGCCGCCCGTAGCTCCTAATGCCGACGTCGCCATAAATTGTGATTACGAGTAATTAAAGCCGAGTCTGATACCGCTCAAAGGCACGGCTTTGCTTTACGGCACGGCCGCAGACGACGAAAACAAAAAACCGTGCCGCCGCGGGGCGCCCGAAAGAAACGGCTCGCCCCGACCGGCCGCCCATAGGCCGACCGTGGCGACGCCGATCAAAATTCCGTCTGACCGCAGCAGTTTCTAAACGCTCTTCTCGGAAGATCACAAGATGACACGGCGGGCGCCCGCTGCATATTTAGCGGCTGCAGCGCGCCCGGACACGCCGCGGAATAACAATGGGCGGCGGCCGCCAGCGTCATACCGTCTGCTAGTCGCCTGACTCTAAGGCCCTCTCGCCATCCGCGTTGGCGGCTGACCACCGCTTTAAACGAGTGGGAGGCGGAACTGGAACCGACCCGGAGCGCGAGTCAGCCACTTTTGGAAATGGGACATGAAACGGCAATTAGGCGGCTAGTTACGAGTTCATCCCCTCGTGTAGACAACTGAGGATTTCGTCTCTGAGTGACGAGCTTAGGGCGTGCTGGGGCCAAAGGAAGCTAATCATGCCGCGGCTGGAGCACGCAGATCAAGCAGCGCTTCACTGTGCCTGGTTCTCGCCTGGGCTTCTCGGGACCGGTCCACGCCAGCTGGCCAGACAGGTCGGACATCTACCAACCAGCCAGACAGGCCAGACACCTGCTAACCAGTCAGACAGGCCGGGCATCTGCCCATCAGCCAGACAGACCGGACATCTGCCCGCCAGCCGGACAAACCGGACATCTGTCCACCAGCCGGACAGGCCGGACATCCGCCCACCAGCCGGACAGACCGGACATCTGCCCGCCAGCCGGACAAGCCGGACATCCGCCGACTAGCCGGACATCCGCCCACCAGCCGGACAGGCCGGACACCCGCCCAGCGTCCAGCCGGACAGGGCGCGCGGCCATCTCCGGCCGCGCGTGCACCGGCGTCCTCCGAGAGCGCGTCCGGGCGCCGATGCCGGCGCGCGCGTGCAGCTGGGACGTTGACCTGGCGGCGGAGCCGGGCCGCCGCCGGCTTGGCACCGAGGTGCATTATTGGCGCGGATGGGCGCCAGCGGTGGCGCAATTAGCCGCGTTCACGCATCGGACCGCTAACAGCGGCCGAGCGGCGTGCCAAGTGGCGTGGGTTCGTCCATTAACGCCGGGGGTCTGGCGCTGCAGTCAAGGGCCGCCTCGCCCGACCATTATAGACTCGCCAGCCGATGCTGAAATTGCCCGACCCCTGCCGAGTGGGACGGCAATTTGTTTCCGATAGAAGCCGTACATCACATTGCGCTCACGCGTAGCGCTTGAGGTGCAAGATGTCGGCCAAGAAACGCTTTTGAAATTGATTGGGGTGCCCCACGCTAACGACCTGAAGGCGCTTCACTGCGCTTGCTACTGCGCGGTTTTAATTACAAACATCTGCAGGGTTAAATAGCCGCACGGCAAGCAGAAGTCGTCCGATCCTTGTAACGACATGGATTTCACCGAATGCCATTGCGGCGACCTGGTCCGATTCAGCCCCGTGCACCATCATGATCAGTGACCAAGCGAAAACGATCGCCCATGACCAGCAGCTAATCACGTTGAAACCACCAGCAGTCGTGATCGTCAGCATCACGACCAATTTCCTCGAGTTATCTGACCGCGCGACTAAACAACGTCGACACAGATGGGGCTCCATCAACACGCCGCGCATGAAGACATTACATGCAGCCCTCACGCTGTCCAGGGCGTTCAGGAACCGCTCGCAGCCCCACCCTCCCAGACCTCTGCAGTTAACGAGGGCTGTGCGGTTGGCGCGGAGACGGCGCTCGGGACACACCCACGCACCGCATCACCGGCCCGACCTCTCGGCCGGATCGTCGCCTGTAACGTCCTGGAGTCGGGGGAGGGGGGGGGGGGGGGCGGCGGCGAACTGCGGCCAATCAGCACCACCCCGGCGACGCTCTCATCTGTCCAGAATGGATGCCGGCCGGCTGCGACAGACGGAGATGGCACAAATTGTGACGGAATGGAGCCGGCCGGCAATTAAAGCGCGGCGGCACGTTGCAACCGAAGCCATTTGGCCGATATGGCACATTCCGGCCCGGGCGCTTCATTACGGCGTCTTGGAGCGGGCGGCGGCGGCCGGTGCCGGCGGCCCAGTGTCAGCCGACCGGCAGGGCGACGGCGGCCGGCGTCGGCGGCCTAGTGTCAGCCGACCGGCAGGACGCCGCCGCGTCACGCCGCGCGTCCCCGTCGGCCGACCCGAGCGCACGTCTCCCCGTCCGGAGACCCGATGTGATGACGTCGGGCAGCAGATACCGGCCACGAATGGTGATGCGGTCGCCATTTGAGGTATGATTTCGGCCATCAAATCTGAAGTAGACCTGTTGTTGTGAGACTCTCCGAGATCTGGGTATGTGATTGAAACCGGTGCCTGATGGCGCCACCATCCACCGTGCAATTTCCTGACAGACCCTGTCTGGAAATCGACACCACTGGAGCCGGCATATCATGACGGACGTCATCTGGCAACCGACACCACTGGAGCCGGCATATCATGACGGACGTCGTCTGGCAACCGACACCACTGGAGCTGGCGTATCATGACGGGCCTCGTCTGACAACCGAAACCACTGGAGCCGGCACTCGCTTTGATGTGGCCAAGGGAGGCCCGACTGTCATGCTTTAGGCATCCTTGTTACCATGCGACAAACGAAAGCACGCGATGTCTGAACATGGAGGAGCCGCTTAAAACATCAACAACCTGATAAAAACGCTTTCCACCGACAACACGAGACGGCTTCTTTCAAGCGCACTATGCGTTTCATTGGCTTCTGGACGCTCCACGGCAGCGAGAGGTACGGCAGTATTCCCAATGTCATAACGCATGAGGAAATACCGCTCCGATACCACTCGTCACAGTCTGTGACAAGAATGCCGGGCCCTTGGCGACGCCTTTCGGCAGCTGGCAGGGAAATCTCGATGGAAATCTCATCCGAACAAACTTCGATGTGAACAAAGGCGCCGGAGGCCAACTTTAATTCGGCCTCATTTTGAATGCGCCAAACAGCGCGGCGGCTGGGGTCGGCCGGCCGGGCGGCCGACGCCCAGCGAGAGGCCGGCGGCCGCCGCCTGCCAGGCGCCGCCGCGGCGACCGCGGCACCGGACAGGTCCCGGCTCGGGTCAGCGCTGGCTCGGGCTGGGGCAGCGGTGACCCGAGCCGGGGCAGCGCTGACCTGAGCCGGGGTGGCGCTGACCCGAGCCGGGGCAGCGCTGACCTGAGCCGGGGTGGCGCTGACCGGAGCCGGGGCAGCGCTGACCTGAGCCGGGGCGGCGCTGACCTGAGCCGGGGCAGCGCTGACCTGAGCCGGGGCAGCGCTGACCTGAGCCGGGGCGGCGCTGACCTGAGCCGGGGCAGCGCTGACCTGAGCCGGGGCAGCGCTGACCTGAGCCGGGGTGGCGCTGACCCGAGCCGGGGCAGCGCTGACCCGGGCCGAGCGGAGCCGCCACACGGCCAGCCAAGGGTCACGAGCGAGCACGCGTTGGACGGTGCGCCACTGGGGCTTTACGACACGTTCAGCCGCGTAGGCTGTACGACGCCGCCCGCCTCTCATCCCGACGTGCTTGCAAAACGGCCCAGTGCACCGCCGCGCTACTGCAATTGGCTATTATGAGGCATGACAATCCTCAAATGGGCTGGTCGTCCACGACATCGTTGCTTTCGCTCTGCATGACGTGTGCTCGGTACATTGATGATGCAGGTACTGGTCATAACATGCGGCTGTGAGGCCATGCGCGCGCATATTCCCGAAAGGCGCTGCTAACAGCAATGCTACTGTATTGCATGGCATACGGCTGTTAAGCCGTGCTCATAATTTAAGTGTTTCCAAGAAAGTCAGTAAGCTATCATTCAGAGAACTAATTTTCAATCGAAATAGTCGCTTATAGCGGGCACACAATCACTTCTCGCATTGTATTTCCCCGCAACTGTCGTACCAAAACGTCCCCACGCCAAAATGCAAAGGCCTCCTATGCGGTACTTCCATTCTGGTCCTATCATGAAAATATGGAGGTCGTTGGGACCTATTTGGCTCGTGTTAAAGCTACGACTTCGCAGAATTATTTCAACGCGAAAGCTTGCCGACGAAGTAAAGATAACCATTCCACCCTGAATGTGGTGACTTTCTACGTATTCAACTCGAAACG